TGGGAGTATCTTTAGTTGTATCTGAATCATTCTTTGCATACCAATGATACCTACACAGGACTGTAAACATACACCCTGTATTCCACATGTATATAACATACGTCTTATCTGACATGGGAGTATCTTTAGTCGTATCTAAATCATTCTTCACATGCCAATGGTACCTGCACATTTTAAACATACACCCTGTATTCCACATGTATATATCATACGTTTCATCTGACATGGGAGTATCTATAGTTGTATCTAAATCATTCTTTGCATGCCAATGGTACCTATACAGTTTAAACATGCACCCTGTATTTCACATGTATATAACATACGTCTCATCTGACATTGGAGTATCTTTAGTTGTATCTAAATCATTCTTTGCATGTCAATGGTACCTACACAGTTTAAACATGCACCCTGTATTCCACATGTATATAACATACGTCTCATCTGACATTGGAGTATCTTTAGTTGTATCTAAATCATTCTTTGCATGCCAATGGTACCTACGCAGTTTAAACATACACCCTGTATTCCACATGTATAAAGCATACGTCTCATCTAATATGGGAGTATCTTTAGTTGTATCTAAATCATACTTTTCATGTGAATGGTACCTACACAGGACTTGTCGCGTTTGAGACCGCCACAGCATTGGCCTGCGAGAAAGCTACACCGCACAGTAGAACTAAGTTTGATCTCAGCCGAGTCGACCCCATGCGGTCGAAGTATCTGAATAAAACCATATCCCAAATCAAGCTCAAAAACAAAGCGAAAGTCGACGATACCTTAAGCGAGCACATGATGGTAAGTGTCGAGTGAATATGTTGTGTGTGGGAGTACGGTGGATGAATACGCGGATATACCGGCGTGTACGGACTGGATGCATGTATGTATGTATGTATGTATGTATGTATATATGTATGTATGCATGCCTGCATTTATGTGTGTATATACACACACGCACACACACACACACACACACACACACACACACACACACACACACACACAC